CTACAAATGCAGCTAGATTTCGCCTCGCAGCTGGTTGGAATAAATCTTTGATTGAGTTTGGGTTACGCAGATCTCAGGGCCCAGATGGAGGGTTGTCAGCATCAAAATATTGTTACATTGGAGGTGAGTAGATTCCTGTCTTAGAGTCACTTTTGAAATTACAGGGAAAAAACCTCCCATTTCTGTGATTGATGTTACCAGTAGTTTTTGTGGGTTACATTGTTGTCTAGTTTTGCTTTCCCCATCCTTGGTGGTGGGATATGCATGTCGAGTAAATTTTGGAATTAATAAAAATTTTTTTAAATTACTTTAATTTAATTGTTAGGATTTGATGGCACAAGTAATGTTTTAGCTGGAAAGTTATGTGGCATTCCAGTCAAAGGTACACAAGCACATGCTTTCATTACATCATTCACACCAGATGAACTTCCATCAGTTGGCAAACTGCAGCCTACAGATAAGAGTAAGGAGCCTAGAGACTTTTATCCTGTAGTGTTAGATTGGCTGAAGAAAGTTTGTCCGGTGCTGCGTGTTCTGGAAGGTGAGGTCCATGTCGGTGAACTGGCAGCATTTTCAGCATATGCGGTGGCCTTCCCGGAGACATTTCTAGCACTTGTTGATACCTATGATGTGCTAAGGTACAGAAAAAGGAAAGATGTAGATCAATGTCAGTCTCTGAGCAACAGGGCACCTACCCCTCCCTTAACCCAACATTAATGGTAACTTGTTATCAGTGAACTGTTTTCAGGCTAGGGGAGGCGTAGGTGGGCAGTTGCTTAGATAGCGACATTGATTTTAAGATATAGTAATCTGTGTGCCCAGTAGTGTCTTGTGACCTTGTTGATTTTGCCTTATGGCTGTGAGAATTACAGACCAGAAATGGAAAAAAGGTGTGAAAACTTTGAATAATAATTCTAATGGCCAACTTTGGCTTTCTGCAATGAATGTTTTCACCTAAGCTATGTTGCAGTAGTTACTGACATTTTTATTTTTACTAGGAGTGGTATCCCAGGATTCTCTGCAGTGGCATTAGCTCTCAACGATTTTGGCTACCGAGCTTTAGGGGTGCGACTAGACTCTGGAGATTTGTCATACACCTCACTACAGATCAGAAAAGCTCTAGAAAAAGTGGCAGATGTGTAAGTACTATCAGTTATGTTTCTAGATGCTGCTCATTTTTGATTAAAATCTTAATCTCACCCCAACTTTGTAGAGTATATCGCTTCGCTGGGCGCCTCGTAAGCAGATACAAACAAAAAAATATAACGCTGTGGCTGCGTGCTTTTTCTACATGGCCGATCGGGCTGATGGGAGATTTACCGAACTAGTTTCCAGTCTCTCACAATTGTACTTCGCTGCATTTCAACCGTGCTTTAGGGCACATTAGTAAACAAGTACTTATCTCTTTTATAGATTTGGTTTACCGTGGTTTGCTACACGAAGTATTGTGGCTAGCAATGATATTAATGAAGATACACTTTTCTCTCTAAATCAACAGGTACCTGAAGATTCTTATGTCATATTTATAATTATTAGTGATTTCTCAATAAGACCACGAGCACTCACTCCTTTTCGGCGAAGTCCGTCGCGTGAGTGAAAAAATAACATCAGTGAAAAAAAATTAACGTTAGCGCGTCGCGTCTCACTCCTAATGATTTTTTTTTTTCACTTGCGCGACTTCACTTAAAACGATGGACTAGTCGTAGTCTATTTCTCAATTGGCTGGAAACCTAAATCCTCGAATTTGATCGGTTGAAAATGTCATCCTTTCATTTAATTTGTTTGTTATTATTTTTTGTTCTCAGGGTCATGCCATAGATTCTTTTGGTATAGGAACTCATTTGGTAACTTGTCAAAAGCAGCCTGCATTGGGATGTGTCTTTAAGGTAACAGAGGAGGGAGAGGCTAATTGACTAAATTCCTAAGAAGCCGTATTGAATCGACGAAGCTCAACCCTCGAACAAAAGTCGCATTTGAGAGAAAAATTACTTTAAAGCGCCGCCCACGAATGAGCATCGGTGCGATGCCTCTTCGTGGAATATAGTTACCCCTTCTTTTCAATGTCTCTTCCCAGATTTTTCAAAATGCGCAGTTGGTTTCTAGAGGTCCAGGACTTTGTCGGCAAGACAGGCCAGTGCAATGTACAGAAAGCAAGTCAATTTTTTTTTTCACAAACACAGGACAGTGGAAGGGCAATTTATTCACAGACTGACTCAAATAATTTCCATGCCAAGTAGTCTGATATCGATAAACGCGAAGTCAATGTAAAATTATATTTGTCGTATTGAAGGGACGTGTTAGTCGCGTGTTCTAGTGTCACCTGTCTTTTCAATGTTATTTACTCGTCCAGCAAATTTCTTAAGCAGTCGACATCTGAAACTTAAAAAAGTTCAGCGTTTTATTCAATCGTAAGGCTCCGGGGTAACGTTCGAAATGTTTCATTATTTTTGACAGCTTGTTGAACTAAATGGCGACGCTCGAATGAAACTCAGCCAAGACATAGAGAAAGTTACGATACCTGGAAAGAAGGAGGCCTTCCGTTTGTACGGCGGAGACGGTAGTGGATTACACTTTGATTACAGTTAAAACTCTCAAATTTATTGCGTTCGATGACGTTGATTTTTCCCCAGATTTATTAGAGCCTAACCTTTCCGAAGAATCTAGGTTCGAGTCTTAGCCAGGTTCAGTTGTGTTCTTGGACAGAACACTTTGGTCGTAGAGTGTCCCTCTCCACCTAGGGTTGTAAATCTGTAATGGTGAACTGTAAGGGAAACTTTGAATAAGGGGAGGGGTGCTGAGTGGGTTACTCAGCAGCTGGACAACCATCCCATCCAGGTAGGAGGAGGATAGGAGGGATACTCTTTTTTTTTTGCTTCATATTTCAGAAAGCGGGATTGAACAGGGATTATTGAAGATTAGCCTGACCTAATGATGGTTTCGTTTCGAATTTTTACTCTTGTTTTGATTCAGAATGCTAAGTCATCACAAATTTGTTGTGGTTTTCAGGGCGGGCCCTTCTTGATCTCATGCTCAGGTGCGACGAGGTGCCTCCGTCTCCGGGGAAACGCGTGCTGTGCCGGCATCCGTTTGATGAGGCCAAGCGTGCATATGTGTGTCCTTCTCATGTAGAACCTTTATATCGTGTCTACTGGAAAGATGGCAAGGTGGAGTAGAGTTCTGTCATTACTCTCTCTGTATACGTTTCTCACATTAGTGGTAACCTCCAGTTTGGGTATAATTCTTGTTGCGTCAGACTTCGGATGTAAAGGTTCTTAGGCTAGGGTTGACAGATTAACCACATGTACTCCAAGTGAACTTCCCAAAGATCAACTCGCAGCCTGGGAACCCAGTGGATTACTTACTTAGGTGAAGGACTTGAAGTAAAACTACCTTGGCTTTGATATTTGCTAAACTTATACTAAAATTTTTAAACCAAGTTTATCTGAAGTGCACACCTACTTGAAAATTTTTATTCAAACTTCAGACCATACTCAATATTTAGGCCTGCACCTAAGAAATTTCAACTTTTTGTCCTTTGTGTGGTCAGTTTCTACGTCTAAGCTAGGCCCATTTTGATATACAAGCGCTTTCCCACAACTCATCTTTTCTTCCCAGATTTGCAGCCCATTACCACCTCTATCAGAGATTAAAGAAAGAGTGAAGGATTCGTTAACAAAGTTTCGACAAGACCATCTGAGAGCCTTGAATCCTACGCCTTACAAGGTACGTCAAATCTTTCTAAAACAAGCAAGAGTGCCTGAAATGCGGGAATGCTTGGTTAGCTCATGTTGTGCAGTGTCGGACCGCCCTGCGGGAGGTCGAGGATTCAAAAATTATTGAAATAACTGGAGAGAATGTGTTGCCTTTGTTCTGTCATTCGCAAATGGTTAGACATCCTAGTCTTCTCAGAAAAGGACGATAAACCTTAGGGGCCATCTCCTTTATCTTCTTTGTACTAATTAGCAAAGAACGTTAAAGAACCCGCACACTTCTCGCAAAAGGTAGGGAACGTATCTTCCGGTGTTGTGGTCTGGCGTTGTTTTTTTTATTCAGGCCCTTTTAAACCCGCTTTAAAGCTGCACTGGGCTAGCCTGTCTGGATTGTTTATTTCTTATGATGGTTAATAATCTTTGGTCTAGGTTTGTTTTTAATTACAAAACTTGTTTTGTTTTTTGTTTGTTTTCTTTTTTTTATCTGCTTTCACGTCTAATGCTTTCATTAGCGAAGAGATGTTTATTTATTTATCTTAGTATTTCCTTACGTTTTCTTTCAGGTCTCTGTAAGTGACAAGCTGTACACATTTATGCACCAACTCTGGCTAAATCATGCTCCTATTGGCGAATTGTTTTAGAAAGCGAGAGCTTTTACAAAATATAGCTTCATACATCCACGTCACCTTACAGTAACAACAATAACTTCCTTCTTCTATCTTTTGTTATTCGAAGGGTTGTACACGTCCAAAAAAAGCTTAATATTATTTGAAAGCTCCTTTAATTTATGAAGAATTGTCTGTTCGCGCACTTTTAAATTAATTGCACACTCCAGTAACATAAGGAAAGCATTATTGTTAATTATGTTACAGCAAATGAGATTTCACAACAGATTTTGCCAACGCACGTTTCGAAGAACTGAGTTAGTATTTTTCCATGTCAATCGTGTATTGTAATATTTTACAGGGGTACAGTAAAATTTATATTTATGATCTGTCTTTTAAAATAATCAGCTGCAGATTAGCATATTATATAGTTATATAAACCGCAATACGCGAAAACAGAAATATTAAATGTCATCACGATTTATGAAACATAATAAAAGAACTTTTCTCAAATGGTTCCCATTTTATTCATATCATTGCAAAATTTAAGAAAAAATGACATTAAGTTAGTAAATGTGCTGGGCGAGGAGGGTAAATAAACTGCCTAAGATCTACTTAATTATTAAATAGATGAGGAAGATAAAGACACTAAATGCTTTATAAGTTAAGAAAATTGAAGAAGAACTGGTCGATAAATAAATAAGTAGTGTACAACGAGGTTTTTATATAAAAGCGGTAGAAAACATACAGTTTGATTGATTTAATGTAATGTAATGTCTATTAGTTTTCAATAATATTTTAAAGAGGAATCTTAATTTTCCAGAACATTAAATAAAGATTTCTTCATTTCTTTTTTAAATGAGTCTTTTGATAAAGTTTTAAATTCGTTAGAATGTCTCATTCCAAATTTTGACACCAACACACGAGGTAGCTTTTCGTAGGAAAATAAATCTAGAGTACTACACACTAAAAAAGTTGCGACATGGATGATCGAGTATTGAACCTTGTACCTTCAAAGAAAAAATTTGGCAATGATAATGAATAATGTAGGATTTATTTTGTCAAACTTAAAAAATTGATGTCGCGCAGAAGTTTGTTTTAATTTTCTGCGTGGATCGAATAAAATTTAATTTTAAAATGCGATTTTATGATGTTGAAAACGATAAAATGGGTGACTATGCTTCTCTTCATTCTTAAATTTCTGCAATTGCTCTGAGATACCTGCAAGATCGTTTCTCCTCTTAAATATCATCTTCAGGTCATAATATTCGTTATTTAATCCTTTACACCCTAATATCAGTATGCATATTCACCATACTGTTTTCCTGATATCTTTTTAATGTACTGATGCGCAAATCGGGAATATACGGTTTATCGTTTACTTCCCGTAGTGTCAGGTTTGCGTGTTGCAGACTTTAAAGGGACAAGCTGAGGAAACTGCGCTCTGTAACGGGTTCTGCGCCGAGTTTGAGGTTCCAGCACAGCTGACCAAGATAACGATCCTTAGGAACTGGGGCTAAATGGTCAAACTCGAAGTTATAACGATTTATCGCAACCCCGAACGGAGCAATCGGGCTGTTTACACTCTAATTTGGAGCAACGAGCTTTGAAAACTGTTTTAAAATTGGAGCATCTCCAAAACTAATTTCTGCTCGTCCTTCTGCGTCTAAGAAATTCAAATCGAGGACAAAGCAACTGTCTGAGACCACAAATAATAAAGCCCGTTCGAATTCATAGGTGATCCTCGAAGCTGGGCTGCCTGGCCTCTCTCCCATGTGGCCTTAGTCGGGCCCTGCAGTAGTGTCTGGGAGGCACAGGTTTGAATTTTATTCAAGGCTGTATCTTAACAGGCTCATTTTCTACAATTTATTCAACTGAAACTCACCAACGATGATAGGGTCTTCACTTTTCTTGGCAAAAAATCGTAACGTACCGGTCTGTCGTTACAAAGGTTATAGACTATAGATAGCACTTAATATTTTTTTATACTGCGACCATCATGAACGTGTAATGAGCTGATCTTTGCCCAGCAAATAACGATATCTGACATTAATCTTTTCCTTTCAACATCCACCCACCCGTTAGTTTTATGATAAGGAGAACAGTTATACCATAAACGACCAGGATTGCCTTGTCTCGTCACTTCTCTGTTGGATATTGTGTTGACATTGTGGGAAAAGTTTCTTGTTAATTTCTAGTTAACAAGCGTGAGAAATCATTACTTAGTAGGCTGTTTAGTGCCTGAAATGTTCATGTCCATTGTAAAAATCTCGCAAACGGTCGAGCGAAAACCTTGCGAACCCGTTACGACTTGGCCAAATTGTTCTGGGTTCATTTATCACCAGATTCTCCAAATAAACATTAAATAAATATATTTTGAGCACTTAGAGAAAGTCACACCCTTACGGAGAGACATTGAGATTGAGACCAGCCACTTCCTTGTGATATGTCATCAGCTTTTCGCTTCCTGACCGTCTGTTCTCGCTTGAGCTACTTTCGAGGAGGTTTTACGATCCAAGGCTTGGCAGATGAACTGTCCTGCGTCCACTAATTTGTTCAAATTAATTCCCTTATGAATAAAAATACAACAGAATGATTTTTTCCACAGGCAGTCGGATCAGATGGGCGTTTAAACTCGGGGCACTTAGTCAACAAAGTTATCGCCAATCATCTTCATTCTTGTTTCTTGATTCTTTCTTAACACAATTTTCGTATATTTTCGATCCTACCGTTTGGGTATTTAGTTCTAGTTTTCCTTTGAATAACTGAACCCTAGACAACTAAAGGTGTAGACTATATTCGCCTATGTTTTTTTCACGGGCACTGGATTACAACGCACGAATTGGAGTGGAAACATGACGATCTCTAATAATTCGTATACATTTACTGTGAGACAGACTTACACTGTAAGTTTGTGTCACATTCATTTTGATCTCATTGAAATGAAAACAAACCGTTTCAATTCCCATTCCATGCAGCATGTAAACCACATCTTCTGTAGCGACATTTCCAGATGCCCCACGTGCGTAGGGACAGCCACCCAGACCACTGACAGACGCATCTACTGTCCCTAGCCCCAGCTGTTGACAATAAAAGGCTTTACATTACAGAGTAACGCCCCGTTCACACCAGCAAAACATGGTCTAGTTAAACAAGGTTTTTAACTGAATGAAAATAAGAAACAGAGAGCTAATAAACTGAATTTTTAACAGGATTCAAGTGGTCACTAATTTGTATTTTCAATGTGCTAAATTTGAAGTCGAAAAACATCGGCCGTGTAAGTAGCCGTCGGTTGTAGTCATCGGGCTTAATCTCTCTAATAGCCACGTAACATGAAAAAAACAGCAAAAGTCTGGCAAACTCTTAGTTTGCCGCACACGTTCATTCTTGACTTACTTGTAAGGCAGTGAGAATATTCGCCAGAGCCTGACCGTATGTGTCGTGGCAGTGAATAGCCAGATGGTTCACTGGGACTGTCTCTAAAACACCCTCCAACATGGCTTGAGTGGAACCTACATATACACCAATTTCAGTTGGCCAAAGAGGAAAATCATCCTAAGTCATCATGCTAAAATGTGTACTTACTGACTGAGGATACAAATTTTTTTCCCATCTAGCTCGACCTCTCTCAGTCCATAGGAACCTTATCATCTTTCCCTTCCTTTCTTATTGTCCCGCTCACTCCACAGTGGAAAACATCACATGAGAGTTTTTTTTTTTTGGTCAGGTTTTTCAAAAGAAGCGGGGCTAAACAGAAGTCGCAGATGGAAAGAAGAACTCACGGGGGGTATAACAAAAATAGTCGCGGTTAAAAAAAACTGATGCATTATCGCTAAGCTTCAATTAGCTCTAGGAGAAGCCAGGCCAAATTCTGGACTAAACATGCATCAAAAAACAGTCCTACACACAGCTGAGACCAGCAATATCAAAAGCATCATGCTCAATGAATATTTATTAATTTATGGCGCGCTTTTTAACATTCCAAGTGATCAGAAGCGCTTAAATTGTTAAATACTAAATTTTTGTTTGTCTAATTCAACAGTAAGTGTATCAAACCTGGAGTTCCAACACCAATTGTATCACCAAGAGAAACTTCATAACACCCCATGTCAAACAAGTTCTTCGTTACCTTGGGAAAAATACGAAATTTGATGAAATCAAATAACTTCGGCAGTCATCATCCAAGTCGAGTCTAAAACTTGTTGAATCTTTAAGTCATAGTGACATTGTCTCAGTGGGTCTTAATTTTTACCACTCCTGATAATTATGGTGCTAAATCTTACCTTTGCTACAGCCTTTGGAGCTACAGATCCCTCATATGGACAGCCAACTACACAAGAAACATACCTGAAAGTGTAAAAGCTAAATCTTGAGTCCATGAAAATTTCAATTTAGTATAAGAAGGGACATTGGCAAACTTAAAGGTAGGATGTTCTGACTTCAAATTAATGAGTATACCATTCAGAGCAAGATCTTTGGTCACATTTTGTTTAGTTAATTAGACAGGGCTGTGTCAATTATTGGTTAAATTGATTGTTTATTGTATGGCTGGTGTAAGTAACAGATGTAATTGGGCACCCTGTGATTAGCTGGGTGCTATGGGCATCATTTTCTTGGTCTTGCTTTATTTATTGAGCAATAAGACGTCACTCTCAGATAGAAATAACTTAATTATGATCTGCAGAGTATGGACAGATTTGGCATAACTGCATGATGTACAAAAGTTAGCCTGGTAAATTTCATTTTGCTTTTAGATGACATTTAATGAAATAACGCCACCAGAAACATGTAAGTACATACTTGTGCTTTTGCAATTCTTCACTACTATTCATGACTGTAACTGAAAAAAATAAACAAACATATTTTATGTAAATACATCTCACCCTCTCACTGGAATGTTGTTTTCTTTTGCAGCTTCACAAACAACTTCAAATCTCTGTAGGCTTTCTGATATGGAGCAGTTGATGTTTTTCCTTTGAGTGGGTAAAAAAAACAATTTACTGTTCAAAGGAGAACTATCTTAGAGAGGTAAACCAATACTGGTCTGTAACAACTAAATTAGGAAACCTTGGAAATTGTCTCATTCAGCTTTTTTCTTGTTTGATTTTGTCACTTACTGCAGCATCGTCTTGAAGATATAGAAAAAACATTACCTACTGAATGACTCTGAGGCAGCTCCAAAAATGGCCACTTCTTTTACTCCACATTCCAACTACAAATGTCAATTAAAAACACACTCAGATGCATGGTTACAAAAATAAAAATATTTTTAATTGATGTCAAAAGCAAATAACAAAAGAAAGAGTCTGCATGAAGATCTGAGCCCCAGTCAGTTAAGATTTTGTGTTTGTATGCTTTAACTATGAATATGATTGGCCATTGATAGTCAGTGGTTGGTTGGACATGATAGTCTGCAGATCATTCAGCCAATGCCTTGACATTTCAATAGAAAGTCTACAGCTCATCCATGTAAGTCAACCAATGGCTGACTGTCAATCCACTTCCAAATTACTGACGAGTCTCTATTAGATATCTCCTAATTGTCAACCAATATGTCAATCAACCTCAGACCTAAATATCAACCTGGGCCATCTGGAGCACATGTGATCCATATGTCTACATTATGTTATGTTACTGTGTCACTAACCGCGGCTTGAAAACCTTTGAGGTTTGGGGTCAATACTGAGTAAGAAATGCCTGGAACTTTCTTTATCCTTTGCATGACTTGTTCATGATCAGCCATCTATAAAACAGCATCCATGACTTATTTTTAGAATTTACACAGAGGAGAACCTGACTTCTGATCGAGGTTCCTATTCCTTCTCTGAGATGCTGTGGTAAATGTTGTTCAAAAATATTCACTATCAACTAATTTTATCCTATTTTGCAGACTTTTTGCTCTTTGATGGTTCGATTTTGAGCCAAATTGTGCTCAAACTGTACTGCTTTCAAAGCACTTCTGCAAGTTCTGACACAAAGAAATTGTTCAACAATCAAAAGTTTCTGAAGCTGCAGATCATTTCTTCTATTCTCATCATCTCATTGTTTGATTCAAGGGTGAAACTGTTGGTAGAAATTAAATGCTAGTTACTCTATTGGGTTAAATAGTTAAGAGCACAAAATCTATCTTCAGTCAAATCTTTCCTTAGGGAGTTGGCTAAGTATTGAACATTTTGTCTGGATGCATAACTCTTGCAGGAGTCTTTCACAACTTGGCATAAAATTATCTTTCTAGGTTTATCACAAGCAAAAGAGGAATTGCAAGGTTAGTAAATGTGTTGTTTTCAAGAAAGTGCTGCACTCTTTCTTGTCTTATGGCCACTGAACACTTCTATTTTGTTAGATTTATTCTGAGAGAAGCTTGAATTGCAGAGCATTCTGCCAAATTTTAAGGGTGAGTTTCTCTTTAGCTACACATCTTACTTATCCTCTAAAGTATACCAGCCCACTCTTCTGTTCTCTAGCCTCCCCTCCCCTAACATACCTGTGGAACCCATTTGGGTGAAACAAAACTGGTTGCTTCTATTGCCTGAAGGCCAGTCTCTGACAACTTGTCAATCAAACTGATCTTTGTTTCAGTGGGAACAATCCTCTGGAATAAAATGAACTCAACAAGCTTTCATTGTTGCTATCACTATAACACATCATTAGTATCATTTTGATCATTATTATTATCATCATAGATAAGAAGGTATGGCACCCTACTTGACACTAACAATGTAAGATTAAGGTAATTGGGTGCATATTTAATTTTTCCCATTTACCTGCTCATTCTGAAGTCCATCTCTTGGTCCCACTTCAACAACCTTGACTTTTTTTACCAGCTGGCCAATAGGCTAAAAATGTAAGATATGTCTTATTACATGTGTAGGAGAGGTCTCTGTGCAACTTTGGACCTGTTCTGGTTAGCATGGAGGCAGAGACCTCATGTTTCGCTAAAAAGTTGCATTTAGCTAAACATCAAGTTGTCACTCTTTACTATACCCTTCCACCATGTCCCCCCCCCCCCCCCAAACCCCCTCTTCCACTTCACCCAGTAGTTATGCATAAAGGGGTTATAGCCCTGCATCAGTGGGAGAGTATGACAGGGTGATTTAGTATTATCAACTGGGTTGATAACATAAACTGGCCACCATAAAGAGTTTAAAACCTGAGATTTTCGAGTGTTAGCCCTTCATTAGAGCAATTGGAGGAATAATGGGTTTTGTGTGTTTTGTATACAGAAAATGGAGATACACTATTGGTGGGAATATGGTGACAAGAAAATAAGATAAGTAAGTTGAATGGAAAAGCACTTGTAATCCTCTATTGCTCTGACAATCAACTTGCAGTGGCTAATTTAAGTTATCGACTCAGTCGATAATACTAAAGTAGACGGTAGCTATGCAGTTCTATTTCTAAACGCAATTCTTCCCACCTAGGAAGGGGAGGGGGGAGGGGGGAGGGAGGGGGTTTGTTACGGTGGAAATGGATAAGTCGTAGTGGTCGCAACTTTAACATTTCACTCGTATATAGCTTTTACAAAGAAAGCATGTTGTATTGGAAAGAAATTAAGAGAGAGAAAGTGATTTCTTAACCCTACGATTTGTGGTCGTTTGTGAGTTTCATCGATCGCGGTCGCAAATACTGTTGAAACAAAGACTGTTACTATCGTTTTGAGACTATTAGGAGTGTATTAGAGTAGCTGCATACTTCAAAGTCCTCATTATATCAATATATAGGGAATAATAATTGCGATCCATGCTTTACCTTGCGCGAAAGGTGGCTAAGGCTCCTCCGAATCATTCGTGTTGGGACGGAGAATTTCAATGTGAGTTTTCATGTAGTCCTACACAACAATGGTCTGTGAGGCTCGCCCCAGCCTGTCGCACACTAACTCAAGGACGACGACTATTTTTGTTTGTTTGTTTCAGTGTTTCATAATTTTTAATCAGAACTAATATTTATCTGTGATCAGATGTTTGTTTCTGTTTCAGCTGTAACTATTTGTACGAGTTCCTTAAAACAATTTGTCCAATTCTTCCAAATTATCCAACTTCTCGCTCAAATACCAAAATCTTCATTGAAAAAAACTAGCGGATTTGAAGATTTTTCAATATATCGATTAAGAAACCAGCAGCTCGAACGATAAAAATTATGAAAACAAAAATAAAATAGATATTATGATTTAATGTGATATCAACACAAATTAAGTTGCCCGCTCGTTTTCTCTGGTATCTTGCCTGAACAATATCTCAAAGTCAATATGCACATTTATTCATCAATCAAAAACGTGTACAATTATAAGATTTCTTGCTTTTGTTTCTTCATCTAAATTCCTCTGTCCTTATAACCATGGTTACAGTTATTCTAATGCCGATGGAATCGATTGGTTTCGGTCGCAAGATCCCTTCTTCTAAGCCTCATCCTCTATGATGGTGACCTTGATGAATCGTATGCCAACTTTCTCGTCTTTGTCGCTTTTGTACACCTCTAGTGTAAGTCCCTTACTGAACATCAGTCGATTGTTGAAGCCAGCGGTCCTCACGAAGCCTCCATCATGCGCTGTGTAGCACGATCCCCAGCGTTGATCCAGCTTGAGAGTGATGTCATACTGACCAGGGTAGAAAGAGTCACTTGCTTTCGGCGTAAGTGATTCGAAGCGAATACTGTTAAAGGTAGATCCGGAGTCACCTTCCACCCCGACGCAAGGAGAGCGGTCATCAAAGTTCAATTTGTCCCACGTGGTAAAACCAATAATTCTGGTACCATCTGACACACCATATGTGATATCGCTGTCAGTTCCTTGTCCGATGCTCACGTCATGTGCGACCGTGATCTCAATTGTCAGCGGCATTGAATCTCTGAGTGTACCTGCAGGAATCATGGGAATCTTTAAAAGAGCAGCATTTTTTACGTTTCCAGCGTTGAATGTAAGCTGTGAAGCGGTCAGTACACGTGAGCTGTCAATGTATGATGCGTACATTTCCAGCCAGGATGGAGTCATGGTCTGATGATAAAATACCCTTTCCTACAAAAGAATTTGTAGATAATCAGTCGTCATTACTATAATTGTTCAAATATTTTTGCCCGAAAATATATATCCTGTGAACAAGCTCTCTTTTCGGGGAAGACAAATGAAGACGAATGATTTGTTAAAACGTGTCTCATCATCGCTTACGCCTATGACTTAAAGTGAAGAACAACTGATGATATTCCCTTGCAAAGAAAGATTTTCCGATTTTCTAATAATAACCTTGCAAAATAATATGTTGATAGTCTTTGCACAATTATAAAAGGTTTACTCAACACTGGAGTTGAAAGGTCGAAAATCATTTGAAGCCAATTTAAATAAAGTAGCAAGTTCACAACTAACCTGTGTTATACAGGAGTTCGCTGAACATGATGCCTGCAGATAACGAGAATGAGCAAGTCAGTCTTTTGCCCTTCATAACGACCAAGAAATAAGACCTAAGATTTTTGCTATGATGATATATCAGAGATGTGAGTTAATTGGATACGCAGAAAAACAAACTTTTGTTCGGGAAGAAAATTTCAATTTAGCAGCAGTTAACACAACTGGATCAAGTTTATTAACACTCTTGATCAGAAGATGCGATGTCATCAGTGTTTCTTAAATTAATCCCAGGCTTTTCTCTGTTTTGCGGTTGCTTTGCACTCAGTAAGAAACCTAAATTCCTCTTATCAGTATATGTTAAAAATTAACACATGAGTTTTGAAACTTAAGATTAAAAGGCTTTAAACGTGTGAAAAGACGAAAAGAACTTACTGATAAAACAACAACAAATCTGTAGACGGTTGTCATCACGAAGAAAAAAAACCTTTGCGACCTCATTATGTTGCTCAGTGACCGTCAGTTTGGTGAAAGAAGATTGTTTAAACCGACGATTTTTTGTGATCTGCAAAAAGTTGTGAGAGTCGTGCTTTGTAGCAAAACTGTGTATTCTTTTGAACTTAAATACGACTGAGTTAATTGTTAAGAGTAAACTTAAAAAGATCATGATCGACTTCTCTTGTTTAATCAACTGGCCAAAATAATTAACCAGAATTATAACTGTATTGATTCAACTGCCACTCCAAGATTGCTGATGAACCTCATTTTTATTTAAAAGAAACTGAAGATAAGAACGGAAAATGAAAAAAAATTTCTATTAATCGTATCAAGAAGCCTCACGTATCTGTGTTTGACAATTCAAAGATGCAAAGACTATAATTGTACGTGTCCCGCTTTGAAAAGTTCGCTGAACATGATGACTGTAGACAACGAGAATGAGCGAGTTAGTGACCAGTTAAAAGATTCAAGGATTTTGACTCTGTCCGGCTTTCAAAAGTTCGCCGTGAACATAATGCTTGTAGACAACGAGAATGAGCAATTAAGTTAGTAAGTGACTGTCATCGCGAAGAAAAAAAACGTTTGCGACCTCATTATGTTGCTAAGCGAACGTCAGTTTGGTGGGGGAATGGGATTGTTAAAACCGACGATTTTTTTTGTGATCTGCAAAAAATTGTTAGAGTCGTGCTCTGTTGCAAAACCGTCAGATTCTTTTTTTAACAACAGATACGATTGAATTTACTGTTAGGAGTAAATTCAAAATGAACATAATCGATTTGTCTTGTTTATTCAACTTGCCGAGATAAATAACCAGAATTATAACCGTATTGATTAAACTGCCATTCCAAGATTGCTAAAGAACCTTATTTTAAAAGAAAATGAGGATAGGAATGGAAAATGAAAAACTTTCCTATTGATCGTAATAAAAAGTCCTTCGTATCTGTGTTTGACAATTCAAAGATTCACACTCTGTCCGGCTTTCAAAAGTCAAGAGATGAACTAATTTCTTGAAAACAAAATTGTGTAATTTGAAGAGACTAAACAGCATTACAAAGACGATTCTCGCACACCATTCTTCATTGCTGAATCGAATTTATCCTGTTTGCTCTTTGATTATCACGCCGTTCATGAAGAACACTTGATTCGGAATTTAAATTTTGTCCGAGGCGGCCGAGCATTTTTACACGTCCGAGGGAGGGGGAGGGGGCACATCGTACACCGGGCGAACCAAAACTCCCATAATTTCCCAAAAGTACATCAAGTTGGCAGCGAAATATCCAGCTGTTTTTATATCACTGTCGCCCTGAATTATTTATGCATTCTTTGGCCACAACACATCACTTTTTTGGCAATTGTGATAGAACGATTTGACATAAGATCATGATGTTAATTTAATGCTGCACTATCAATGTTTCCTGCAAACAAACGAGGGATGCCTTGGTACTTTCCCTAGCATCTTCGGCAATCGATCATCTTCTCGTCTTTTCGTTTTCACGAAGCAAACATGGCACCCTCTTACCTTCTCCCTCTAAAGACAACGGTTTTCCAACAGTATAACGGATTAAAACACAAATCTGACCATCTCTCATTATCAATGACTACTTTTTTTCCTTTATTTCTGATAGCACCCACTTCATTCTACTTGGTCTGGTCTAATTACAACTTCTTACTCAAAATTTCAGGCATGTCACCCTTCTTCCTACTGCCTCTGAGGACACCGGTTTCCCTACAGTATAACGGATTAAAACACAAATCTAACTACCTCTCATAATCAATGACTACTTTTTTCGTTTATTTCTGATAGGACCATATTCATAAAGTACCCACTTCATTCCACTTGGTCTGGTCTAATTACCGCTTCTAACTTATAATTTCAACATTCAAATAATGAGCAAAAATTTCGAAAGAAGTTTGTAATAATAGTAAAACAAAGGAACGAACTACAGCTAACTTAACTGGCAAATGAAAAGATTGAATTTCGAATCCATAACCATAATCAATCGTTGATTGACAATTCTTCGCCTCCACGAGGCTAAGTTGAAGCGCTAAGGCAATACTTTCATTTGCCAGTGATGTCAGTTTTGTTGTACAAAGTATATTTAACTTTTAAGAGCGAGGCTAAAACCCGACTGCGCGAGTAGTTAAATAAATTTAAGTCACGAGCGTGCATGTGCTACTGTTTATTACTGTGTAAACTGTGCAAAAACTTTTACCGCTTTAACCCTAAGAGTGACTAGTATCTAATCTCTCCTAACCATATCGCCCCTAAATCAAACATTATGGTCAGGAGAGTAAAGAAACTAAAGCTCTTGATTGTTAAACAAATTCTCCATGTCAGCACCTTATCAAATGTATAGAAAACAGTATGGGGAATATGCATACTGATGTCAGAGTATAAAGGGTTAAATTAGTGTATAAATTCCTCTAACTGTTTCAGTTAAAGCTACCAAGCAGCACTTTTAGGCAAATTGCTTACTGTTCTAAACAAGGTAAATCTAACCGTTTGGACTGTGTGTAAGCCGAGAATGGCTATCTAATAACAGTTCAGTGCATTCACTTGGCACTGCTCATTAAGCCGTGCGGTGCGATCACAAGATATCTTGTGTGAAACCTTTCAAATTACAGCTACATGTGCTACGTCCTACTTACAAGTGGTACTGTTAATCGTTTTGTACAAGTTGATTTTCCTTTTTTCTTTATTGGTATCGTTTAAGAACACTTCATAAGAAATAAATTCTTCCACTTTGTACTTCTTTGGAAATGATTACAAGAGATAACTGTAGTTATGCCTTCGCAAACTTCTAAAATATCGATGAAGAGGGAGGGAAGATCAAACCTTGACGGATAATTTAGAGAAATGTTTTCCTTCTCGCTCGATAATTTACTGTGAAAATGAATCGAACCCACGCTCCGCCAAAGTTCACCCGTTTTCATTTTGGAATTCTAGATAGCAGTCATTTTCGACCCTATTTATGATTCCACTTTATCAAATTTTGTTAAAGTAATCCATTAATTTTTAGGATAAGAATCGTTTTTACATGATCAATGCTGCCCGAAATAAGGCGAATTATATCGCTGCTTTTAATCAGCGAAATTTAAACGCTAAGAAATATTTCAAGATGAGACTACCAGCACTGTCACTATCAGATCAGCGGTTGCTGCGAATAAACCATCTGTGGCTGCGCGGGGAAACTCGGGTAACCTGATGCACTAGGTTGTGTTAGGGACTGGCCATAGTAATCCTGTGGTGCACTCTGGGATGGGTACTCGGGAGGTGCCGCAGGGAACCCCTGTTGGTAGGGTAAGTGCTGCTGTTGGTAGGACATCGGTGGTGCTTGAACCTGTTGTTGGCTCGGGAACGTTTGTTGAACGTTGTTTCGCGGCTGCATTGATGCCTGGGGAGCAGTATAATGTGCCTGGCTGGGCTGTGTAGGTTGGTTAGGCACGTGACCTGCATAGGGTTGCACAGGACCTTGACTGGAATAAGCCGTACTCTGGAATGCAAAAAAAAATCGCTTAGAGTCAAACTATCGTGAATGTACCTCTGAATCTACACTAAAGAACTAATTTAAGGTTTTATAATCATCGTCCAGTTTAACGTAACTGTCCATCCCCTTCATGTGAGATAAACTACGATCTTTCCAATGCGTATAGGGTCAGTGGTCGATGGGAAACAAACACAAGAGTGCTGCCCGCTGTTCTTAGCGCCGTGCCCAGTCCCACCCCTACCACGACATTTCCACTTCCCCATCCGCCACTCATTAATGCCCCACCAACAACACACTCATTCATCATCCTAGCCCATTTGCTCCTAACACACACTACACAATCGCTACCAGTTTGCAAACTATTCGCTCTCAGGTTGTAAGGCGACGTAAGTAGGAGATAGAAAACCACTCACCACACCAGACGATCCCATTACAGTGCCTGGGTCGCTCATGTACTGAAGTGAAGTAGGAGGAGAGACCTGGGGATAGCCTGCAGGATGTGGGGCATAAAGCTGAGGAGCCTGGGAAAGAGTAAAGAATAATTTTAAAAGCTCAAACAACGTCCTTTTCTTTCTTAACCGTGCCACTTGCTTCGAGAATTTCCTTTTAAGGGCACAAGGCAACACAAGACAACCTGCAGTTATAATTTAGCCAATTACCAAGATCTGAGATGAATAATAAAAACTGAACTATCTGCCATCGCTTTCGTGTGAACTTTACGAGAAGTTCATCGTCCTTACTTGAGGATATTGCTGTCCTGCGGAACCTGGCACCTGATACATGCTCATAGAAGCCTGGGGACTGCTTCCATATCCATACGGCAGAGTGGGAACTGGTAAAGGCTCTTTCATCAACCTGTAAAATAACAGGCAGAATATGCAAGTGACACGTTGTATGACGCACGTGACCAAGGCATAAACCGACATGAATGGAGGGGAATATCCTATGTCATAAAAAGAAATCAATCAAAACTACAACAAAAATTCTTGAATTTGCTTGGTTAAATGGAAATACTAGGACTAGCCGGGGGACAACTCAGGTAGTAATCGGGTAATAACCGTGTGATTTCAAATCAAATTTGAAATTACGGGCGAGAAGCTGAGATATCTGAGATATGAATATTTTATGTCAGAACAAGCGTGTTAATAAAACATCACCGAAATTTCATTTATTCCTTTTTCGTTTTAAAGCCTTACAAGGGCAACTAGCTGACTGAAGAGTTTCCGTTTCCTTGCTTTTGATTGACTGTACAAGTATTAACTGATATCGAGGCTTCGGCCATCAAGCAAACACACTTGTGCTGCAAGAGAAAATTGTGCTCCCTACCTCTGATACAAGCTCAGTGCTTGCAGATACTGCTCATTCATTGAGGATAATTCCTGGCGTTTTCTGACAAAAATAGGCAATAACAAATACTTAGCATCAATTAAAATGATTCCCGTGCGTTAACCCTTTAACTCTCATGAGTGAACAATTCAGAATTTTTCCCCACAATATCAATACAATATTACGCAGACAAGTGGTGAGAATAAAAACAAAATTACAATTTGGGGATTATAAGATGATCCAATACCAAATTCTCCAAACTAAAATCATAAGATTTGTGTGGCAGGCAGTAAGGAGAATTACTAATGAAATTTTGGGATATATGGGTTAAAAGGTTTCTTTAATAAATCTAATTTACCTTTCACTCTCGTCGATTTTTTCTTTGATAAGAGGTTCCATGCGGTTACATTCATCTGTAAAATAGGAAAGTACGCGAGATTCACATGTGATCACGTTCCTGTACACTGCGAGGATCTACTATATCCAAAGTAAGAAGACTTGGATTAAACTCCATTTTGCGACTGTCAAATACCACGAACCTTCTGTCTGATATCGCTGCAATTTTTTTTTTGGTTGCCCTTTACAAAATTAATAATGGTAATAGGACAAAGTAGAGTCCTAGTCCTACTTAGTCTGTAATCACAAGAGTGATTCGCACGACCGCGAAGCGGGAGTCCGATTTGTTAATCAAAGTTAATCGAAAGTATGTAAAAATTTGCGAAAGAAACTCGATGTCGATCACGAGTTTCCATTAAAAAAAAAAGAAAGAAGAAAAAGTTAACTTGGCGAAATGCACGACAACAGTGCACGCTCATGACGCGTACTGTCCATTTACACAGGCGTGATGTGTCAACTGTCCTATTACACTGTCCAGTTACAAGCATGACGCATACACAGTCCTATGAGTGCTCAAATCGGGCAGGTGATAACCAATCACGTTCGAGAATTTTGTTTTAATTTTAATTAGGACAAAAACATGAACAAACCCTCCATGTCTTGAATCGTATCCTCCCTTTCGTCTTCTCCTTCAATATTAGCTCCTTTTAACATGTTTGTGCAGAGGTCGATCTTTTCCTACAGATAAACAACAAACGATTGATTATCCAACAATTCTCGCGATAATCGCAAAGAAGCCCTTTATTAAATACGAACAAAAATTAAAGAAACAGTAAGTTACGTTAATTTCGCTGTTTAATTTTCAGAAGCTCATCATAAATAAACAGGTTTAAGTAGGGCTTAACAACAGTTTAAAAAAAGGAAATGAAGTTATTGTCGTGGTCGTTGCTGTTGGTTATGTTCTCGGTTCAATCCTTACCTCGCTGATCTCGGTTCTGACGGGGACTGAAGACACTAAAAAGCAGAGGAAGAGTTTTAATCCTGGATGCTGAGTTCGCCAATTGATTAGTACAGTGTAGTAGAAAAAGCAAACAAAAAGGCAACATAATCAGAAAAAAAAAGTTTAGAAATAGTTATTCTTGAGGCTCACAGACGTTGTTGTTAACTTTATCGTTACCTTCTGAAGCCGCTTGTTGCCTTGATTCATCAGCCCACCGGACTTTTTTCTTGTCTATCTTGGCTGTTGGTGAAAGCAAATAAACATCGGACCGTATCTCTAGAAGGCGTGAAACACGCACTTTACCTCTCCTCCCCCCCCCCGAATATTATTGGGTGCCACGTAGTGAATTGTTCAGGAAAAGCCAACGAAATGCTGAAGGAATTGATGGGGGGGGGGGGGGGGGGGGGGGGAGGGGGGTAAAGCTGTGAAGGACTGCCATGCCATTCATTCAATACTCCTATACGCGTTATGCCACAGAGACAGGGGAAACACGAAAGGGAAAGAACGCTAAATTGAATTTTGAAGCTAAAGGAGCTAAAGTTTTTTTACATACAGCGCAAACTTTGCCTCAACCGCAATAGAAGCAAGATTTTTCGATGGAAAGAAAAACACCTTGTTCTTAAATACAACACATATAGTGACCCTAGACTGGAGAAATCTCTCTCTCATAGTCGCATTCCTACCCACCATGGGTTAGGCAATAGAGAGATACCCTTTAGGGGTGGGGTGAAAGGGAAGGAAACACGAACTGCAAGATGAGGAATTCAGTGCCATCACAGATCGCTTCACATTGAAGGAATACGATGTAAACAGTGCAGAATGAAAACTTACGACTCTCCGGTTCTGACAAGTCCGATGTTACAAAATTTGAAGGGAAAAGTCCAACTCCACGATGTGTTTCTCCCTTCCACCAGTTGACATCACTACAAGAAAAAAATAAATTGTCAAGGCTCTCTTGAAGCTTAATTTTTTTCCAACAAAAAGGACTTGTGGCTTACACATCATTTTTCTCATGAACAGACAGTGGGATTTGAGAATATTGAAGGCTAAAATGTTCTATAATCAACGCAGCTTCTGTTCGTAAAGCAAAATTTCACAGACGTTTCACAAGCTTAAAACAAATCTGAGCCGGTCGCCGGCCAAGGCCCCATAAGACTTTCATCGTATTCGAAAAGCGACCTGCATTCTGCAAATATCAGCAATTTCGAAAGCATTTTATACGTGGAAAAATAATGAGGTCTTCGGCATTAGCCAAGAGTGGTTGTGACCAATGTATAACATTTCCCTTATCCAAAAAAGCATAACAAACCTTTCTTTTTCAAATAATATACCTGTCATCAAGAACGGAGATAATCTCTCCTGCTTTGAACGTAAGCTCATTGTCTTCAACTGCTTCAAAATCGTACAACGCTCGCACTTGTTTCGTCTCGACCTATCAGAGAAAAAAGTCACATGTCAAGTCATGCGATCGTTACTGTCAGGTGACGGCAAACTATACGACCTCAGGACTTAAGGTAATTTTTTTGTGAATCGTTAACTCAGATACGAAAGCTCAAAAATTGGATTTGGAAGAGCAACGATATTATCACCAAAATCAAGGATATTTGACATGTTTCATCGAATACATTCGAAGAATTGTAAACTACACTTTCACATAAAAATAATTTTCAGATCCTCTCTATGATCTATAATCTTTAATTTTGCTTTAAGCGTGATGTTTACGACAACAACAGTATTAAAAAGAAAGGAAAATAAACTGTTATTATAAATCTCCTTTCTCCTATTCCAATCACCAAAACTAGCAGAAAATCAGGCATAAACTTGTTATTCAAAGTAAACAAAAACATTTTGCTCACTATAATAAGTTATCAAATTATCGAAAGCCAACATTCAAAATTGTTGCTGTTTGCCGGTCAAGTTGTACCTAAGTTCTCTCTTCTGATATTTAGACAATATTTTTATTACTCAGTCCAATTTCCTATAGCCCCCTACACCCTAACATCAGTAAGCACATTCTCCGTACTGTTCTATACACATTTCCTAACAAAGAGACTTTATTAAACAATCAAGAATTTCTTTAAATGGTGATCATTTCCTTAATTCTCGTAACGTTATGTATGTTAATCAGGGGTGATATTTTAAGGAGAAACTACTTGAAGATGCTAGTAACTCTATCGGGTCAAAGAGTTAAGCGCTGAAACCACGTCCGTACGGTACAAGCGCGTGACATACAACATGTATACACACTCCCTCATGTGGTAACGCCATGAAAACCACGAGATTCATGTTTATCAAATCGATCTTACGCTGTTGGGAACCCTGTTATTCCGACAAGGGCAATGCACCATAATAAGGCGACCATTGGGAAGGGAAATAAAAGAAATGCTTACTCTTCTTGAAGGCGCTGGTGAAAGTGAACTAAAGCTCGGATACAAACTAGACACTTTTGGCTGCAGGAAAAAAGAAGAATGTTGAAAACATCATTGATTTATAAATTAAATCTTATCACATCAAACTTTTAAAAAATATTTAGCATAAAGTAATAAACTTAAAGTACAGACAGTGGTAGCCAATCGACTAGTGTTAATTAGCTAGTTAGTTTTGCTGCTGGAACAGTTTTCACCTACCTAAAAATTGGGAGAACTAAATTCAACCAAAGTTAATACTAAGCAGTTTGGGAAATATACAGATAACCATAACTAAGTTAAACATAATTTCAAACTATTTCCAATTCAGTATGTTTTATTCAGTACCTTCCCTGCTTCTGCTTCTTGAAGGGACAACTCAATTGCTGTAAAAAAATAAAAAATATTTACAGTTGTTTTTACTCTTTTATAATACAACTTTTTGTTTGTTTGTTCTGTTTTTCTCAGAGCTAATATTGTGAGAATTGTAGGGCATAAAGTGGGAAGAGTTAACACTGAGATCTCAGGAGTAAAAAGGTGGGGTGGGAAGGAGGGGTTGCCAGGGAGGGGAGGTTGATGCTTCAAATTGATCAACGCATTAATAAATACTGGCTAGTGCAAAACAGCACCATAAATTTCTATCTTCTGCTGCAGATGCATACCTACCTTTTGCTAAATCTTCATCTTCCTGTTGTGGGGAGGCAGTTGATGATGATGACGATGCAGATGAACGTGTTGTATAGCCAGCTGAGCTTAAACTTGAATCCTAGAGCGTGTTAAATTTTTCTTAGTACTTTATGCTAAAACTTAATTCAACTCAAAAGCCTTTTTAACAAAATAGAGATGATCTCAAGTGCAAAATAAATCATAAAGCAAAAATTTTCCACAACATTTTAAATAAACAAACCTTGGAACTATCAGAAAACTCAATCCCTTCAGCTTTAAGTTCTTTATAAAGTGATGGTATTAAACTGAAATTGTAACAGAGAGCATTTGAAACTGGAAAATTATATTTCGACAAAACTCTTCAGAACTCCCAACCTTCCACTGCCCCACCCCCTCCCCTCTGCTTCTTTTTTATGGTCACTTAAGCTTCTTGATGATTTCCTTTATTCTCATGCAGTGATTAACATGTCACCTCTCCTCACAGTATCCTAACAATGTATACTACCCAGCAAACAGCTAATAATAATGCTCAACTTCTCAGGTAGAAATTCTTTCCTTAATTGAAAACCAAATGTGCATTTCTCATTTACAAAGAAATGTGTAGCAGCCAGAAGAAAGAATTAGCGATCAGATCTTGGCCTGAGTTGAAGGGTTATAGAGTGTCCTGACCAAGAACACAAAATTCTGACCCAGCCAAGTCCTAAACCTGGACTTCTCCACCAGGGGCCAGTTTTTACTATGGTATATATTAACAAAACTGTAGGCAAGAAAAAAATTCTTTAAACTGTCTGCAAAGCAACAGAACTTAATTAAAAATTTTTTGAAAACCCTCAGTTAGCTTTAGTCAATCTTGCTTTGAACAACTCAGCCCAGGATCTCAGCACACTTACTTAATCAATACAATCATTACCTTAACTGTGGGTCATCCTTGAAGCTAACTGCCCATTCTTTTATCAGACTTTTCAATTTTTCTGTTACTCTGGGATGTCCCTGTATATATGTAATGACAGGAAATGAATAAAGCAGGTAAGTTGCTATAAAAAACTGTGGTGTTGCATCAGTGGGAGAGTTTAACACAGAAATTTAGTATTATCAACGAGTTGAGTCATAACGTAAATTGGCCACTGTAAAGAGTTTCAAAGCAGATGTTTTAAGCATTGGCCCTTTGTCAGAGCCAATGGCAGTAATGACAGTAAAATTAGACAAAAGGTGACAAATAAAATGCTAAAACCCCTTTTCACCCTTTAAATCCCAGATCAAATTTGTAATTCTCCTTTCTATCAACCATACAGTTCTTATCATGTTAGTTCAGAGAATTTAGTATTGAATCAACTAATTATCCCCAAATTGATATTTTCCTTAATTCTCATCACTTATCTGGTTGATATTGTATTGATATTGTAAAGAGAAATTCTCTCTTGGACACTCACTGACATTCAGATAAGAATAAATTATTATATGGAAAAATTTAATTATTCACTCAATCATTAACAATTCAAGGTCCATAGCAAGCCTTATCATCGAGTGGCATAATTTTGTGGGCATTAAAAGATACACAACTCGTTTACATCAAAAACATGCACCTTAAAAGAACAAAAATAAGGATGCATGCACAATCATTGTGGTTTAGTATCCACTTTTGCATCTGGACAATATTGCTTTACCTACTTTGGTTTCCGAACTTACCCTGGAAATTATATTTTTTGCTTCATTGACAAAATCTCTTGAACACACCTCCAAGTGGAATACTTTATCACAGTTATTTACACATGCTGACAAAAGCTAAAATGTAAGGCAAAAAAAATTTTAGTAATTGAAAAACATCATCTGAAAATTTGAGAACTATAAAGAGGCTGTACACAATGACACAAGCAGGACTCACAAAAAAACAATCTGATCAAACTGAAAGGAACAACTGCCAAAAGATAAGATCCTAATTGACTTAGTTACAAAGTTGGTGTAAATGGGCAACTATTTGGCTCTCCTACATGACACCCCTCGTGCTCTTTAGGAATTAAGTATCTCTTTCCGTAATTATTCCAAACTGATATAAATTATCAGAAACAAATGAAATATTTCTACTTACAGTCAAGGCCTGCATAGCAACATGGGGAACCCTATGGTTGACTCTCTTCATTATCGATCGCAATGCATCTTTAGGTCTGTGGGGTAGCAATCAAAAAAGAAAGATGATTACTACGTTAGATGTAAACATTTTGACTTAAGTTAGCCAATTTTCTAGTATTTTTTCTTGTCCTATTGGTAGTCAGCAACCTAAACAACAGGCAATCCCTCTCCAATGCCTAGTAGTAAAATGACTTCTCCAAACAAATTAATAAAAACTGAAGGCAAGAAGACAGGAGAGTTCTCTTGTAATTTCCAATTTTTGTACGCTGATTAATTTTGTCTCTTGCTCTGAGACCCTGCCTTAGAAACAACATCTCCTGCATATAATTTATCAACTGACTTGATCCACTTTTCAGGAAATAAAGGGGGTAAGTTTCTAAAGAAATTGTGGTGCTGATTCAGTCGGAGAGTATAACAAGGTAATTTGGTATTACCACCCAGGTTGATGATGTAAATTGCATTGGTGGGAAAGTATAACAAGGTAATTTGGTATTATCAACTGAGTTGATGATGTAACTTGCATTGGTGAGAGAGTATAACAAGGTAATTTGGTATTACCACCAGAGTTGATGATGTAACTTGCATTCGTGGGAGAGTATCACAAGGTAATTTGGTATTATCAACTGAGTTGATGATGTAAATTGCATTGGTGGGAAAGTATAACAAGGTAATTTGGTATTATCAACTGAGTTGGTAACATAAATTAGCCACCATTAAGAGTTTCAAAGCTGACGTTTTGAGCATTAGCCCGTCACCCTTACAAAGGGCCAATGCCTATTTACGTTATCAACTTAGTTGACAATACCAAATTATCTTTTCAGGAAATAGATTAAGTAAATGGTTACTTCTTATTTTTCCATTATTTCAGAAAAAAAATAAGAATTGAATCACATCTTAATCAAACTTCAACTGTGACTGACTACAGTACCAAAAAATTGGTTCAGCAAAAAACCTGAATCACAATATGAATTTTAGCTTAAAACTACCTCAACATCAAATTTATAAAAACATTCTTTGAAAACAATCATGGCAGGAAGTACATCTGTATTGGAGATGTTCAACATCTGTCACAACAAAAGGACAAAAGTGAAAGCCCTTTGAAACATTCAAACCTTGGAGCTTCTGACTTTGCAGTTGTCCAATCTACTTTCTATAGAGCCAGACCAATTATACAGGTGTACTACATTCCATATGGTGAAATTATTTGCCTTCAATTTTTTATTTCTATTAGTTTGGTTATTAATTGATTTTTGTTATTGAGAACTGCGGCCACAAATTATGTATAATGAAACTATGACATCAACATGATGTCATTATGACATAACCTGCTGTTGAAGACATGACAAGGAAGTGTACATTAGTATGAGTTGTGTTGGGCAAACAATGAATATGTAACAGTGGCATTCACGTATTTAATAAACGTATTTTATGCCCGTACAACTCAACATATGACTTTATATGACTCTGTAGTAACGGTCTCAAACTGCCTTACAATGCTAGTATTTACCTTTTTAAGAAGACTATTCCATATAATACCTTAATCGAAATACGGAATTAACATAATCGTGCCAGGATGTCAAATGAATAACTCACTGTTAATAGTCAGATGACTTAATATCTTCGACACACAAAACGTTTACTTATTTAAGATCGGCGACAAGCTGTATGACAGAAATTTTGGAGGAAAAACATCTCCTTACCCACTCGATGAACGTGGAATACGATCGCATATTTCCATAATAAGCTGCCAGTCATCTGTTGTGTTGAGTTCGCTAGTGGCTTTCTCTGTAAAGAGGAGATTAATCGACATTCGTTTGTGTTTTGCTTAACAAGAGAAGCACTAATAATGCGTTGAATCTTACCAACATCTTGATCAAAGGGTGAGGAACTAGAAAATAACGGCATTATACGGCTAACAAAACTCTTTAAACCTAAAATCAAGCATAAAGTTCTCGTTCAATTCGTGATAAACTTCGCAATCTGTTGCAACCTACAGCATTCAGAAATATTATTGACCGTGATGTCATTGCGGCCTTAGAATTATGCGGTATACCACTGACCAATGGTATTCTCCGACTCAAGGCCGCAGAGCGCCACAGGCAGCCCATGCTTTTACCCTCTCGACAGAAAAGGAGGAGAGCATCATGCACCCAAACAATCAGTAGTGCGGAAGCTGAGCGGTCCTTTTCGCTCATGAAACGGATCAAGACGTGCACCAGATCAGCGATGTGTGAAGAGCGCTTTCCAGATCTCGCTATTATTGCTGTGCACTACCCTGAGAGATTCGAGGTAGACGAGATGTGCGAGGCCTCTGTAAAAGCTCATCCTAGGAGACTTTTTCAGGCTACGTTGTTTGATTAACGAGGTATGTAGAGAAATCACAA